GGCTCCCTGCACCTGAGAGATGCTCCGCACCAGCGTCGCATACTGCCCGGTGGCACAGGAGTCAAAGACGCGCCCAAACCCGGTGGCCCTGAAGCTGTCGTTCCACCCGTCCATTTTCCCGGTGGGAAGGCCGCCGATCTGTTTCCATGGACCGGCAACAATCCCGAGGACAACCTGTCTGAAGCGCTAATCAAGGCAGGCGTCAGTAACAAGCCGCAGATTATGAACGAGTCCAACACCGCCCGCCCCTCGCTCATCAACAACCTCAAGAACAAGTCTGGGCTCAGCACGCTGTCGACCCTGTTCGTCGCCGTACTAGAGAAGAGACAACAGACCGGTCGCCTGCAAACCCCCAATACCTTCAAGCCCCCACCACGATTGACGCTGAGAGACTCGACCCGCGAGCAGTGGCTGCACGACTTGGCAAATCCAACGACAGGCCTCCGCCGACTCAGCCGCACCATCCCCCACGGACTTACAGGCAAAGTGCTGCTGGAACAATGTCTCAACAAGAACATCCCCCTTCCGAGAGCCCTGTGGTTGGCCAAGTGCGTGGGTATCAACGAACTGCGCGCCCACAAGAGAAAGGGCCAGGCCGGCACTGTGACATGGGGCAGAGGCTGGACCAGTTCGGTCGAGCAGTTTATAGACGGTGTCATTGGCAGTATTGGGCAGGGTGACTGGAAACCTCGAATCACGTATGCCCTCCAGCTTGCGACCCACCTCTACAAAGAGCACCTCCTCGACGATGACCACTTCCTGGATTGGATAGTCAATGGCCTGGACACATGTCCCTCCGAACGCCTGTTTATCTGGCTGCTGGTTGTGTCCATCTCTCACTACTGGACGGCCGTAACCTGCTGTCGACGCCGCGGCAAATCTCTTGCTGAGTCACTGCTCAATCAGCTTGATAAGATCTATCGACTTGAGGATCTGAGGCCTTACTTGGCCGTCTTACAATATCTAGAGAACACTGTCATTCGACTGCTCGCGACACGACCTGCCTGTCTGCTGCTTCCGACTGCGTGGGCCAGATATGGCCCCCTTCTGCAAAAACTTGCCGACAGGAAGAACCATGCACATGTAACGCAAGCCGTCCGGAGGCTCGAGTTGAGAAATGCTAGGCTCCTGCAATCCCCAAAGAAAGCTCCCTCCGCTTCGCAGACACCGGCTGGCCGCGTCTACCGGATACTGGACTCTGTAGACTACAGCAAGCCAGTGCGCATCGAGGACCTGTCGTGTGATTGTATGGAGATCGTCGCCGACGCTCCACGGTTGATCAGCATGCTTCTTCAATGGGCATGTACGTGCTACCGAGATGGAGCGCACAGGATCTATCTGGCGACCCGGCTACTCCGCAGGTGGAACCATCTTGGCGCAGATGTGTACGACGGAATCGTTTCGTATCTTCGTGACATGGCCTGGGTGGCTACCGGCGACCCGAATATTCTCTTTAGAATCGTTGCTGAGTTGGTTCGCTCAAAGACTTTCGCTACTGGACGTTATCTACAGTGGCTCATCGCTACAGGGTCTACCGGACACAGCACGGATCTATCTTCACCACATTCCTGGCCGTTGCGCCTGGTCACTGAAATACCCCTCAGTGGACTAACAGACCAAATCCGTACGTTACGAAATACACTCCTACGTGGAACTATGCATTCAGCCGAGCTAGAGCAAAGAGCACTTAGCTACGCCGAGCACATAATATCCCAGACGTTACCTACCTTGTTCGGTATCTACACCGACACAGCTAAGCCGAACGACGTAGAGCTAGACAAGCTTAGTTCGACAGTAAAGCTTGAGCTGGGTATCTGGCTACGTCAACACGTCGCTCAGTATGCTGAGGTCAGCACGCAGTAAGTTCTTTCAGCACACTGGCCGCGACTCCGCTTACATTGTATAGCATACCTACCAAGGACTCGTCTGTCGAAGAGACCGCTGCGGTATCTCTATTGTCGCCATGGGACTTCCACATTGTAAGATCCTATCTTGAGCGCTTTGGAGACCTTGCTATACTTGCGGACATTGTCGGCGTGGCAACTACATCTTTGGACCCTAATGTTCTTGCTTCTGCTGCGGATACGATCAACTACCATGCCAAAGCATTTCGTGCTATAGGTGCTTTTGACCCTTTGTTTGGTAGGATCGCAACGAGATATGCTGCCCTGCGAACGGTCCGATTACCCGATCGAGAACTATTGCTCAGTCTTGCCAGCCTGGCTCGTACGGCGCATGCTGATGGCCAACTTCCACAGTTCCTCAACTATGATCTGAGTCAACTGAACCAGCGGAACTCACTTGTGGCCTGTTCGCCAGCCTCTGACAACATGGGTGAGGTCATGCAAACAGGATCATCTTCGGATGACGATATTGAGCGCGTTCTTTCGAGTGGTACCAACATGGATCAGCAAATGATGGGACGAGTACTTCGCAAGATTGTTAGTAACCTAGAAGAACATCTAGCCAAGGGCTCGTTCCACTTGAACAGCCACCATGCCTGGTTCCATCGGCTATGCTGCTTCGACGAACCGACCTTCGACATGGTCGTGAACGAATGGCTGATCTTAAGCCTGATGGCTCAAAGGACCGACACGCTGCGGGTAGCCTTGCCCACTCTTGTTGGTTCCGGCTGTGTTCCTTTGACATCTTTCTTGGACACTCTTCGAGCTTGTATCGCTAAGTTCAAGACTAATCCTTCTGAAGGTGGTTTCCAGAGCGCCCTCAAGGGCATGCTGATTACTTTGCCTTCTGATACACTGGTTCAGTCTTGCTCGCCACAAGATGCATATCGATATCGCCTGGAGCAACGAAAGCTCTGCCTAGAAACTGAAGGTCGCTTTACGCAATGTATTGGTGAGGTAATTGGGCTTGGCTCCATGATTCCATCTCAGAAGACCCAAGCGCAGCTTTCAGACTTTCTGCGTAGCAAGCCAATGCTGCATGTCCTGAAACATCGCCTCGTTAGCGATCCGGGATGCTTGTCCAAGCTGAATAAGGAGGGTTCAAGTCATTACTTCAAGCCATCACTAGATAACCTCCTGGATCCCAGAGGCCACATGAAACTACCGGAGAAGAGCCCTGGACAGCAAGTACTCGCAGTTTTTGCACTTGCCAGCGAGTTGTCGTTGCCGATCTGCCAAGCGACCATCGAGCAGCTGTTCTCGTCAAGCGCAGCCTCGTTGGGAGACTCTGGTGAGGCACTCTCTGCGTCTCTCTTGAGCGCTATCAAGACAGCGGTAGAAGAGGATCAACCTTCAGGATTAGAGCTTCTCGCAAGCTTGGATGCTGCTCTCACTGACCAGATACGACAACATGCTGAACGCGAGATCATCAATGCCTCTGCCTTCTTGTGCATGTCACCTGCAATCAAAGCAGAAGAGGCCGAAAAGGTCTCGCCAGCAGTAGTTCAAAAATATCTTACGGTTATTGACCTGACTTCAAGTAAGCGCTCGGAGACCACGGAACAGACTGCTCTGCTTCAAGCTTTGATCGAGAGATTCAAAGGCATAAGCCAGGCTCTTGAAGACAGCAGACTCTCGGTTCTAGAGGTATATTCTTGGTTGAATGCCCTCCTCCGTCTGGTAGTGTCTCACGCATCGGCCATGCTGAGCGACGCGACCCATCCACACCAGACCGCTATGATGAGTGCCATGGCTGCTCTACTCATTCATCCGTCTCTGGAACTATACCCTACAATCACTGAGCATGTCTTCGACGTTACAGTATTCCTCTCGGACTATATCTCGGACGACGTCCGGTTTCACGTTACTCGGTTGGAAGGTGCCAGGCTTGCAAGCGATGCACGCTGTGTCTTCATCCTGGGAGTGACAGCGCCAGTCGACGGCTGGCTTGTTCTGGCCAAACCAGTCAACACCCCCCTGAACCAAGCGTCCTCGCAACCACCAACGCCAACACCCCTTCAAAATCAGCAATCGCCATATCAGAGCCCACAGGTACCCGCCAATAGTTCTGCAACGCCACAGCAACGCTACTTTCAGCAGCAACAACAGCAAAGACAGCAGCAAATGCAGGCAGCTCAACAAGCGCAGCAGATGCGCGCACAGCAGCAGCAGCAATACCACCAGCATCCGCAGAACAAGATGCTGCCTGCTCAGCTTCAACGAACACCGTCGGGCCAAGCCTCTCCTTCTCCACTCCAGCAAATGTCGCAAATGCAGCAGATGCAGCAAATGCAACAGCGCGCCATGCAACCCTCGCCTGTCTACTCGCAGCGTTCGACTCCTGCAGCGAGTCAGAGCCAAACCAGTAGCCAAGGCCAGACAGGTACGCAGGCGCCAGGCAAGCTGCAAATCAGGCAAGACAGGGAGATTCGGCACTACCCATTCGTGCAGCCGAGGTGGGAGATTCTAGCTGAGTCCTCTGGAAACCCGAATGGCAATGAGACTGCAATCAACTTGAGTCTCTTTGGTGCGCGGAAGGTATGAGTCTGCATGCGCTGTACTACTTCTATTTCGCGTTCACATCCACTAGTTTTGTGGACCACCTTCGTTTCGTTTATGTATTTTCTTCCACTCGTTATCTCATATGTTTTTGGGTCCCACATAAGCTTCTATTCCTATTCTAAAGCATGAAGCGAGGCGTTTTCCCGGGTTACTGCTATGATCTGTTCATGACATTGCATCACACCGGAGTTTCTAGTGGGAAGGGTTTATCTGCATATAGCGTTATGGGACTACATAGGGTATTGTTTGGAATTTGCATTGCTGTGAGATGTATACAGCATGGCGTTAAGAACGGAAACGCGATATGCTGGGATTAGTGCTTAGCCTGAATGTGTCGTTGAGAAGGCTAGAATGAGGTATATAGATTAACTGAATGAAGAAATACTTTGATGATTGGTCTTCATGCAGCATATGTTGGAAGTGACTTCGATGGTACTTGGATATGCCTTATCTTCAAGTCTGGCATTACCAAGGCTTCATACCAGCTACGCCTTACGCATCGTATTCTTCAACCCTCCCATCCTCAGCACAATCTTACGCACTCTTGCCTGTAAGCTTCTCACAAGCCTCCCTGTACTTCGCGGCTGTCTTCTCCACAATTTCCGCCGGCACTGCGACTCCCTCCTTGCCCTTCAGCCCGTTACTTGTCAGCCAGTCCCTGAGGAACTGCTTGTCATAGCTAGGTTGCGCCTTTCCCAAATTCTTCTCCCATGACTCCTTTGGCCAAAACCTTGAGCTATCCGGTGTCAAAACCTCATCAACGAGCACCACTTCGCCCTTCTCATCAACTCCAAACTCGAACTTGGTGTCAGCGAGGATAATACCGACCTCCTCTGCGCGGTCCGCAGCAGCACTGTAGATAGCCAGTGAAAGCTCCTCCACGCGCTTCGCAATCTTCTCATCACCAATCAGACGTCTAGCTTCCTCGGGGCTGATATTCTCGTCTTTGCCGCCTACTTCCGCCTTGGTACTCGGTGTCCACAATGGTTGTGGTAGCTTCTGACCTTCAATCAATCCCTTGGGCATACTAATTCCGTTGACGGTTCCGGACTTGGTGTACTCGGACCAGCCTGATCCGGTGATGTAGCCGCGGACTATAGATTCAATGGGCAGGATGCGCAGACGACGAACTTGCATGCTGCGGTCCTTGAGGGAAGTTTGGTCCTGGATGGCGGCTGGGAGGTCTTGGGAAAGGAAATGGGTTTTGAGGCCGGGAACTTTAGTGGGGAGGCAATGGAACCAGTAGATTGACATGGCAGTTAGAAGAGCGCCTTTCCCTGGGATACCCTGGCATTTTTATCAAAGGGAGTTCTTGGGATTCGGTGATTATACTACTTACATTCTCCATGATGACGTCGTATGCTGATATACGGTCGCTGGCGACGAACAACAGTGTGTCATCGTCAATTGCGTACAGGTCGCGCACTTTTCCAGAGGCGACCTTAGGCAACTTGCCTTGAATGTCAATGTTGGTAATTGCTTGGGTCGACATCTTGTTCCAGTGAGTTAATTTTCTGGAGTTGATGTTGGTGGAATGACTGTGTTTGGTGGAGATTTATGCATGCGCCCGTGTCGAGTATTTTATGCCCTGTAGCGGGGCCGCTGTGGCTTTCACGGGGAAAGTGTGGCGGTGCGGAGTTCGCGTCGTCAAGGGTGCACGCGACCTTGGCCTACAAGTAGTCCTGAACAACACAGTACCGATCGCGAAGTTACATGACATGAACACAGGAAAGACCTGAGTCAAGTAAAGTAACCTTCGACTCGCGCTCTATTCAAAGGCTTGCTGCTCCTGCCTGACCAGCCACATGCGTACATCAGTTCACGCCTTACTTCATTCGACAGCCTAGTCGCATCACCACACCTCCGTTGACCATCTCTCCATCAAACTACACCTTCGTATCTACGTCAGATCATCTCTAAATGTCTTCAGTCCAGTTCACAGCACTGATACGTCTCCCATTCATCCGCGGTGACTTTGAGGATCCTCCACAGGTAAAGTGACCTATGTCTGCGTCTTGGGCGTTCATCTGACCATCGCCCAGGCACAATGGGATGCCGAGAGGGACCGCCAATTGTGGAAGGTCATATCAAAGTCTTCAAAGACTAGTGATTTAAACTGTAAGCTTTCTTCATGTAACGCGATGTCAATGGTACTGACATATTATAGGGGTTGAGCTGTATGTACATGCGATCCAGCCATGTATCAGCCTTGCTGACCATAACAGAGCCGACAAGTTTCAAGTTCCTCCGACCTTTCTTCTTCAGCAAGCAGCATGGTTGTACGAGCGGCATCTCGATCATGTTCGCAATCAGATGAAGAAGGTCAGCATCTCGAACGCTGTTCCATCATCATCGCCGACTGGTGGAAGCACTATGACTGGTGTTGGTGGTGTTGCGATGCGGAGGGGTGGCAGTGCCGGATCTGGAGGTAGGAGAAGTGTTCACTATTGTTTGGTATTGCTAACAAAGAGTAGCTGGTAGAACCACGTCTGCATTGGCTGGACGATCGAAGGACAGTCCAAGTCTACGTGGTGCAGAGGTAACGACGCCAGGTGAGTACTTCAACGAACAAGGTGGATTCTATGGTAAGTGCATCTTCTGACATTGTCTAGCGCCTCCCCTCTCCAGGACGCCATCTACGACCACAATAACCCAATCTCGAGCAGATACTCAGGCGCCAGCTCGAACTCTGTCAACACGCTCCACCCGACGCCCCAACTTGACCAGTCGGAAGTCTGATGATCGCGCAAATCCCCCAGCTGCACCACCCAGCTATCGTAATGACGAAGCTGCTTCTCCAGAGATCCCTGATTCCTCGTCTTCGAGCTCATCATCGCTGTCGGATACTGATCATCCAGCCCATCGAAGCCAGCTATTTAAGCGCCCTCCACGTTTTCAACAAAAGAAACCTCGAGAACTTTCCACGTTCGAGGAAGGTGATGGAACTCAAGAGACTGACGATTTGGGCTCACATGAGACAAGTCTACCCTTTGCGACGGCAGCTAGACCACGAGCCAGCAACAGCAAGTATGCATCAGATGCGCGTTTTAGTACCGATAGTAAGCCCGGGCAAAACGTGTTCCAGGCTGACCGCACGAGAAATGCTCCGGCACCAAGACCAAAGTCTATCGACGTGCAGTCACTTGCGACCACCGAGACTGCGTCGTCAATGACTAGCTCTGGTGGACCTCCATCAGCAGCAAAAAGCCCTATGAGTCCGGCTTCGGATCATCGTGCAGCACTAGGCCGACTCGGCAGTCCACGGCGCGGAGGACCTCGATCCAGGATTGAAGGCAGCGAAGGCACACCTAGTATGGGCAGCAGTTTCAGCGATATCGATGGTGAGTCAAAGTGTTGCCCTCCTTTGGAATGGTACGTGTACTGATATTAGATAGATGCGGGCATCAGCCAATCAGCCCTAGAGGAAGCGCTGTTGAGTAACATGCAACATGGGAGAATGAGCACGCTTAGTCGCATGTCGAAGTGGTAGGAAGATTGAAGAGTATAGAAAGCAGTATCTCGGTGTTTGGATAGACTCCCGTCTGTTACTATCAAGACTCTTATTGTGAGCCACTCCGAAGAAGTGTATTGTGCAAGGCTGCAGCCTTGGCACTAGTACATTGATCTGGACTACAACTCAAACTCCACTTCAGTACCAATACTCAAACTCCAAACTGAAGTTAAATCAAATAGCATCGGTTTTGCATGCAATGACTTTTTACCCTCCAAAATTTGTCGCAATGCCACTACCACCCGTCATTTTCATAACAGACCACACCACGCTACCCCCAACAGCCAACCGGTACATTTGCGGTAATAACGACATCGTCTTCCCAACCGCTTACAAGCAGATTAAGTCCCTTCTTTCCCATCCGACCTGCCCGCATCGCCGTAGGCCAGACACCTGGCCCTGTCACCCCTGCGAATCCACCTTCACAACCAAGTACTGGTCCTGCGCCGCGACCCTCCTCGACTACTTTGCCGATTCCTACCCCACAGATACCCCGCTTATGCAGTCGATATGGTTCTATCTCCTAGACATCTGGCAAGAAAACGCGTCACGTCTTCCTTACGAAGCGGTGCTGGAAGCAGCCGAGGCAGCTGCAGCCTTTGGAGGAGAGGTTCCGGGCGCGAACCATGCTAGGGCATTTGAGAAGAGCGTTAGAGATACAATTTCCCTATTTGAAGTTACGGTTTGGGGACGGAGAGAGTCCACAGGTGATCAGGTCATTTACGACCCCTGGGGTGAGGCGTGGTGTCCTGTGGGCGAGTATGAGACGGGGCCTTGGGTCAGTGGGCTGAAGCCCTGGGCACAGTTCCTAGGGGATGGAGGCGTAGGCGTTGCGCCGCCGTCCAATGGTCGTATAGATGTTGCGAATGAGGAAGAGGAGGATGGAAATGGCACTAGAGGTGTCTCCAAGCAACGGACAACAACAAGATACATTCCCCTCCCAGCCCTCGGCGTCATAAAATCTCACACCGAACGCGCCCGCGACTTAGCCGTACAACTCTTCAACAAACAAGACCCCGATGTCCTTACCCCTTCTCTCACGGAATTCAACGCACACACTCTACCGATGCCTGCCTCACGCAACGAATCTCACTCGTACATCTCGAAGATCACGGGCCTGGACACAAGTTATACCTTGTCGAACGGCGCCCCACCTGTGATGAGATATGAGGGGCTGGGCGATCCACAAATGGACCTCAAAGGGGTGACGGATTGGAATTTGCTGGATGAGTGTGTGGCAAGTTGCAGAGGAGTGGAGGCTTACGTGCCGGTTAGTGGTGGTAGTGGAAATGATGACATGGAGGATGGTGATGAGGAAGACGAAGAGGACGGGTTTGACCTGTGGACTTTGATTGAGAGAAGGACATTGGAAGAGGGTGGTAAAGCGTTGGATTTGGGGGATATGTTTGACACATGGTGTGGAGTTGATGAGATCTGATGTCTGTCAGAACGCAGCCCTGCACCACTACGCTATGCAACCAAAAAGGTACGTATGATCAGCGAAGTACTGATTATGGTGCAGAATAGTATATATTGCCAGCCAGGTCTGACACTGTACACTGATACAAAGATAGACAAGTAGAAAGTTCTTCGGCGTAGCCCCTTACACAACCTTCAAAATCGAAATACTATATCTAAGCAAATAAGTAATCTAAGACAAAGTAATGCATATAGCTTAAACTCAGCAGTAGTACTTTACTGACTAGCACCGAAAGCTCTTAGCAATCCTATAATCTTTTTGCTCATTTCCAGAGAGTCCTCTAGTGCTCCCCATGCCGTATGATACGTCATTACAGTTTTCTTTGCTACAAGACTGTCAGATAGTTTCTCGCTAGGCCTACTTTTATATACTTACAAGTAAAAATCGCAGTGAAGGCAAACGCCATTCATTCTCATGGTGTATGTTGATTGATCATTTGGACTCTCTCCGGCTTTTCTGAAATTTTGGCACTGTTTGCCACCATTGATAGCACCTGCAGTGCCAGGTCCGAGGTGATTATCATAGAAGTCACCACAATGGCCGCGCGCTTGAAGAGCTGCAGGAACTGCAACAGCAGACATAACGGATGCCAGGACCGCGAAGCCAAAGACAGAAGAGAAGTACATTTATTGACAGTAAGACTGTAGCCTGGATGTGGAGGACCGTGGAGTGTGAAATAGTTGTGAGTATGCGAAGCAAACAGAGAATTGGGTAGACTTAATACGTGCACCATACCAATGTCGCACGTGTTAGAGTGGACAGTACTAAGACGACAAAGAATCATGTTATTCGTGGTCATTATGCGAGACACGACATTGTTATGATACAAAGCTTATCATGCTAACATTGTGGCAGCCAAACATCGTGACTGCAGAACATGCTGATGCTCATTTACCCTGTTGTTCGAAGATTTCGTTGTCCAAACATCGTCTCCACAGCGTGTTATTCGCCACATTGTGGTTGTACATCACAATGATCATGCTATATGCATCGAACACGCTGTTTACTGCTCATGTAGATATCGCTCGATCAACCTTCATCCCAGCCTCAAGTATCCACAGCATGTCGAATTTGAATATAGTGACGCAACTCTCAATACACTCTATCTTGGTGCCTCCTGATTGAGTAGGTACTCAACTAGACCTAAGATGGTGAGTTGATCTCATGCAAGAATCCTTCCCACAATACATAATTTGATGCTAAGCTACTCGAAAAGCCACGAAAAGAAGATTGCCTCTAACCAGAAGGATAAGTATGTCATGAGGCATCTGATCTTAGATTAGTGCTGCGTGACAAGTGGATAGCACAGTAGAAAGGATTGCGGTACGGTAGGAAAATTGCATGTTTAATCATATCTTATTTAGAGGCGTTACCATGTCTGTGCATTTGTAGGCGCATGAGATATTTTTCTATGTACCCTTAGCAATTTAAGAGATAGTCATTGGAACGCTCTTTGTATGTCAAGTTACATTTGCTATATTGCATATGTACATTGATAGCATTAACTCACTTGTGCGCTATAACATGGTATTATGTTCGTGCATTACAAAATCAAATCGTGGATATCGTTGCGTAAAAAATCAATGTTCCCCCACATGGCCGTTCTTCAGTCTCATGGTCCTCTTATACATCCGGTTCCAGTTTAAGGAGAGTAATCCCTGGTCTTGCGTTGAGATTCAGTGTCCAAGAAGCTACCTCGGCTGCGGTTTGACTTGGTAGAGCGTGTTCGGCGCATGCTGGAAGAGCGATCGCCTCCGAGACGGCCACCAAGGCAGAACATGACGGTAGCTAGGAAGTAACAGGCAACGGCAGCCCAGGTGAAACCCATGAGGTATCTTCCGATGCGTGCTTCGAAACCAGCGGAACGGAAAGCGTCGCGACCCTTGACTACCCATGCGCTGGTGAAGTTAGTATAAATGGTAAGAAGTTTCGCCATGGATATGCTTACGTCATGAGAGCTGCAGCGAGCGTCTGGAAGAACAGAGCGACAAATGTCATCAAGGAGGAGAGGTATCCTCCAAGGCGGCTGCAGAGAGCAAGTAGACCGGAGATGAGAGCAATGGCAGCGAAGAAGAGGGCGATCAAGTAGAAAGCGAACATGAAACGAGACAGATAGTAGTACTGGTGTGTACCGATGAACTGCTCGGGGATGTTTTGCTGGGTGCCAAAGTTCCTGGGCGGGTCAAATGGCAGCGCTGGGACGGGTGAGCCGCAGTTGGCATTGTTGCCGGATGATGGGTCAGAGCCGCAGATGGCAAAGAAGGTCCATCGCGATGGGTTGCGCGCGTTGGGGATGCCGTCGGTGGAAGCCTCGAGGAAGTAGAACTTGTTAAGAGGACTCTTGTTGACACCACCAGTGAGGATGTTTAGGAATTGGAAGAGCAGGCCACCAGCGACCAGTATCAGCGAACTGAAGGCGAGGATAGGTCCTGAGTAGCGTGTCAGCAAGCGCGCAGCCAGAACAGGAAGCGACGGACGACGTACTAGCCACTGCCATTGTTGAAAAGTCGCCCAATGGAGAGGTTTTCGCAAGGGTGAGTGTTTATTAAGATTAGGATGCACGATAATGGTGCTATTACAGTGGGATGATTCGACGTAACTAGCTGCGTGTCCAACGCGCGGTGAAAAGAGGCCTGGCGAGCTTGTTTATGAGCGCTGGCCAGCGGTGACGTAGCCCTCGACACAAGTGAATCGGGCTCTTTATTGGCGTCGTCGACTAGCTTCATCATCGCACAGGGTTACGACACTATCGCGCGCGCTTTGCATCATCCCGAGGCTCGTCGACACACCAAAGGGTCCGCGGCTTGCCTGGAAGCATGTTGGCGGATGCGACGGATCGTGACGGTGCGAGTTAATGAGTCGGCAAGTGTCTGAGGTGTGCGGCATCACATGGTGAGATGGGTGAGGGATGCAGGGATGGCTTCCTTCCTCGGATAGTAGCGAAGATCTGCTGGGTGAGTTGTGGAGCTTGGCCATCGAGCCCGGGCAGCAGCCAACAACAACCTGCACCGTCGTGCCTTGGAAGCACATCACCATGTCCACCGCTGTATGGCCGCCCATCGATGATGCCCGCCTCGCTGATGAGCAGGCGGCGTCGCAAGCGCGAGAGCTTGAATGGCTGCTTGTGCAGCTCCGTGAGACGCTGCAGTCGCTCAAGGCAGGCCTGGAAGAGTGCGCTGCTCTGCTTGCGCCTTCAGAAAACGGCTCGACACTTGTGCTGACTTCGGTGCGCTCCGAGAGTCTCAAGGGCCTCATTACGCGCATTGGCACGCGCATCACCAAAGGCGTATGTCCTTCCTTGTCTGTTCTGATGCACCAACTCACATGGCGCAGAATGTCAAGCTCCGTCTGGCAAGCCTCCCACCACCCAAAGGCTCTCTGACCTACGACCTCGCCATATCCTCTGCACCGCACGCGCCTACACTCGTCGTGCCCCAGCTTACTGCGATTCGAACGTCCATCAACAGCTGCCTCGACGTCATCGACGTGGCTACTTGGG